ATCCTATCGACATTTCAGTCATATAGGATTTAGGATTTGATCTTCCACTCGAAGAAGGATGAACTTCAATGCAGCTAAGTACATATTCACAGTTGTGTAAAAGAAATTCAGGGAGAACATCAGCATGTTAATATACCTTGTGTGTTTCTATTAGCCTGTTCATTTTTGGGAGAATATTGTATTATTGTATTTTGTTTACGATGGCTGTCTGACTATTTATCGTGTTGGTGGCCTACATCTTCATCTCCACTTATTCTTCAGCTAGCTCTGAACTGGGTGTGCCTGTGATTGTTGTTGTTTTTTATTTGTGATCGCCTTTTCTTAGGATCTTTGGCTATTGTTAGGTCATCCTTTTTTTTTTTTTTTACATTTAACTTGGTATAGGAATTTTGCTAGCTCTGTTGGCTATATTAGCAATCTTGGGAAAAGGAAAAACCAAATGGGTATGGAGTTGACTTGATCCTTTGCCAGTGAATAAGGTGTGGGTAGTTTGGGTTTGAGTGAAATAATTGGGTAAACATGGCCTGGGAATCTGGGATCAGTCAAATGGTTACTTGAGGTGAATTATGCCTCTAACACTTCTTTCAAAATTGTTACAGAATTTTATAAAAGTAACTGCTTGTCGATCAGTTTATAAAGTTGGATGCACAAATTAATTTTCACCTCATGATCTGTGTACTCTGGACCCATGCAGGGACACCATTTAGATTTGCGACTTGTTCGTAATCAATGGCTTCTATTAGATCCGAAAATAGAGTTTCTTATGTCTGAAGCAAATGAAGATAAAACATCTGGAGATTTCAGAGAAATGGGAAAGAGGCTAGCAAAAGAGGTTTCCTCTTTTGTTTCGAAGAAAAGGGACAAAGCCTTTAGATCTGGGGGCGTATCAGAAATCAAACTTAGTTTTGTTGGGCATTCCATTGGAAATGTCATCATAAGGGCTGCATTGGCTGGTACGAACTTGTAGCTTAGGCTGATTTCTTCTGAATTCTGATGCTTATTGCTTAACCCTAATTATTTACTTTTAGTATTGCAGATAATAAAATGGAGTCCTGTCTCAAATATTTGCACACCTATGTCTCTGTATCTGGTCCACATTTAGGATATCTGTACAGTTCAAATTCTCTATTTAATTCTGGGCTGTGGCTTCTGAAGAAACTCAAAAGCACACAGTGTATCCATCAACTTACATTGACCGATGATCCAGATCTCCAGAACACCTTCTTCTTCAAGCTATGCCAGGTATACCCTTATAGTCTTGTTAGAAAAATTGCCTCCATCCCCTTTCAAGTTTCAATAAAAGTTCACATAATTGACGCTTACTTGGGTTGATACTTTTCTTTTAATTGCAATGTTTTGACTTTTGCACTATTTACATGCCTTACTTTGGCTATTTTTTTTTGTACTAATATATACAACATATGTTATTATGTACTTGTATAAGATTTTTGTGTACTTAATGTCGATGTATATTTTCAAAATCTTAATTGTTCATAATTATTACTAACACGTAATTAAAAATATTAACGGTCAAAGCTATGTATTGACATGCATGAATATCAAAATGTTGCAATTTAAAAGAAAATGGAGGAAGTATATGCTTGACCCTCGAACCTAAAATACTTGTAATACTGATAGTGTTGTGCTTGAAAAACAACTTATAAAATTGGCATCCTTGTATTTGAAAATATGACATCAATACTTGTAAAAAATTCATTGGAAGTTAGTCCACTTCATGTGGATCACATGTGAATGGTGAACCTCACCCTTCATATAAATACGAGAGAATATGCCAATAATTGACACTTCCTCTATTTTTATTTAGTTGCAACATTTTAACTTTTCATGCATGCCAAATTGCCAATACATAGCTTTAACCATGACTTTTTTCCAATATATACCTAACGAACAAAAATTATAAGAAGTTGATATTTTGAAACTATACATTAAGATGAATCCAACAAAATTCCATATAACTATGTTTGTTCTTGGATTTTAACACCCCCGCCCGCCCAAAAAAAAAAAAAAAAAAGAAAAAAAAAAAGCTATCCAAAGTAAAATTTGTGAATAATGCAAAAATTAGAAGTGTTAAGTGTACAACCTATATTACCTTACAGACATATTCATGTACAACCTCTGTTTCGAAAAAAAATTCTATATTATCATTTTTGCACAATTCTCTACATGTTTATACTAAAATAAAAAGTTATATGTTAAGTGTTTTTATGTAAGATGTTGGATTCATTTCTGCAGCTTTATAATATTTATAAATATATATTTAAAGATACTATATGATTAAAGTTGTGTTCAGGCAATTATGTTGGTTAAACTGATGCAATTTATTTGGAAAAAGAGAGAATTATATGACAATGCATAATTGGGGTCACCAGCAATGTAATTATGGTGTTACTAATATACACCTTAGTAGGGTTGTTAGTTGTCCATCTATAATGTAGTTATGCCTAATGCATTTTTGGGTTTATTGGTAAAGCTTTAAGGGGGTTACGAATTATTTGTTAATGGGGATATTTTAATTATGTTGCATCACCATTGGACGGGGGTGATGACGAGTCACACTTGGGATGAACTGTTTACAAATGCAAATGTTAGTGCATATAGTTTATTAAAGTTGGAAGGATAAGAATTTGTGGACACTTATTTGCAAACTTCCTTTTTGGCTCCTTGCCCTTTAATTTTATTTTCTTTTTACTCCCTAAAGTTTTGGAAATCAATGTGGAAAGAAAAGTAATAGTTGTCGTCTATGTTAACTACAACTTTCATTTCACCTCAAGCACCCTTGTTAACTACTTGACATTGACATTAGTAAGATACTTGGACACTTTTTTTTTTTTTGGTTAATATCATGCAAAAAAATATAGTCAAACGCCTTGTTTGCCACTTGGACAGGTATCTGTATCTAACTCTTTTAGCTGAGTCCAAGTATTTTGATCCATTATCACAAGTAATTGAATTTTTTATCTTATTGATGAATATAATTTCAAATTGACAAAAACAAAGCTGGGTATTGCCTCTGCACCAAATTATACTGTAATATACAGTCTCTCCATCCTTAAATGTGTGCTACATTTTCCTTTTGGGTGTCCGTAAGAGAGTTCTACTTTTTCTTAAAAAGCATGTGGTCTTATTACTTTACTCTCTCATCAACAAAGAGTGGTCACTCTATTTTACCTTTTCATCAATTATAAGTATGAATATATACAGCAAAAAGCAAATGATTGTTGGTTATAGCTCTGTTGTTCTGGGATTGTGTCTTGGGTGTTGTCAATTAGTCTGGAATGTAATTTGATATTCATATGTATGTAGTTTCACCTTCACCTTTTTTCTTCTTCTTTTTTTCAGCAAAAAACATTGGAGAAGTTTAAGAATATCATCTTACTGTCTTCACCACAGGTTAGTACTCATCTATTCTATCTGTTATGAACGGAAGAGCTTGCTGGATTATATTCTATGTCCTTTTGGCATTTGGATTGTTAACTTTGATATTTGACTTACATTTTGGCCTTAGCTTTCTATCTGGGATGTGTTTGCGATTTGCTCTGTTAATTAGAATGGTTACAGATATAGTTTTTTTTAAAAAGATACTCCGTATCATATAAAATATAGAAGTCGTAAAAGAAATTCCTGTTGGTTGACTGAATGTATACATTTGGAATATTTGCATACGTGAAAAAATAGTTTATTCGTTTCGACACTGTACTTTTTATATTGGCAGGACATAAATTCTACAATTCCACTGTGAGTTGTGGTGGCCAGTTGGTCAAAATGTCTATCTTGGTGAAAATAAATTGCATGGGTGAGGCGTGAGATACCCATATGCGCATACAAAGTCCTCTATAATGCTTGTGTAGTTGACGTAGTGTAGTTACTAAGAGTTCATCTCCATTTTTTCTCCTACCTTGAGTTTTCAACCGTAATGTTGCATTATGTATAATTAGGGTTTCTAGTGCTTTGTTAAATATAGATAATTTTGTTTTTTTGTTTTTTGGTTTTTATGCTCCAATGTAGTGCTACTTTCCATTAACTGGTTCTATTTCAGGATGGTTATGTACCGTATCATTCTGCAAGAATTGAATTGTGTCCTGCATCTTCATCTGACTTCTCCAAAAGGGGACAAGTTTTTGTGGAAATGTTAAATAATTGCTTGGACCAAATACGATCTCCCTCCATGGAACATCGAGTTTTTATGCGATGCGATGTCAATTTCAACATGTCTTCTCATGGCAAAAACCTAAATACTTTCATAGGACGAGCTGCTCATATAGAGTTCTTGGAGACCGATATCTTTGCAAAGCTCATAATGTGGTCATTTCCAGAATTTTTTCGTTAATTATGCTGTGTATGGTAGCAGCCTTGTGTTCATTAAGATGCTTTGACATCAAAGAATCCATTTGCATAATTGGTTGGGGTTTCGTGCAATTTCTTTTTCCATCGCGGTCAGATCTCCAGTTTTGCACATTGTGGACATGGATTTTGAAGCAAGAAATGTTTTCGTCAGTCAGGAGAAATGTATACTGTTCTAGGTAAGCTAGATTCTGTATTTGTATTTGCAATCTTATCAGTTTTCCAGTTAGGATTATAGGCAGGAGATCCTTGAATTTAGGAATCCAGAGGATTACTCATTGTACAGTAAACATGATATAAATAGTTTTTAAGCGTCAAAGGTAGTTTAGTTCCATAGTGCTGTTTTTTGTTTCTCTTAGTTACCTGTTCCCTTTTGTATCTAAGCTACCATGTTTTATAGCGCCGTAAGATGTTTCAAAATGAATTGCAGCTTATTATTTTGTGGTAAATGTACGCCCTTTTATATTCCTGTACTCGGCAGGCTATTGCATTCTGCTTTGCAACTCTTAATTCTTATACTATTTTACCTATCTATAATAAATTAGGACTCATTTAGCATCTGTATCATTGGCTGAAAATTTTCTATGGAGTTTTTGTTGTATAGTTTTACGCTTATGGCTTGATACTAGTGGTGTTATGGATGTATGGTTTAATCTGTTTACTGACTTTAGCGACATTGAAGAATGAATATTGGGTATGTGATTTGGGTTATTGTCACGTCTTTATGCTCAAATAAATCTTGTATGGCTACTTCTAACTTACTTATTAGGGGTTATTTTTTAATTTTTTTTTGGTGTTAAGAGAGCCACAAGGGCGAGTAATGAGAATTGATCTGATGATCACCTAGAACCGGAAAAGAAACTCTAACTATTTGAGCTATTCTTCACTCTCATTAGGGGTTAATTTTTAACCTCCCATAATACTTTATTCTTGTACACAAGGTTGATATCCAAATGGTAAACGAATAAGTCGCATTTGTCCTTAAGTCCTAACCCAATTTGAGTCAATTCAAGACATGTGAGACATTGATAGTAAAATTTACCAATAAATTAAAGGAAAAAAAAAAAAGTAATTCTATTGCAAACAAGAATATTACATTTTTTCTGACATGAGATAAATTTTTGGCTCTACATTATTTATTTACATACCACAGTATAGATGTTAATGTCATAAATCCATAACAGGTGAGGTGAAATTTAGATAGTGGCAAGAGATTGAGAAATACAGTTCATAAATTTTCGAAGGAAATGATCAATCAAATTGCTCAATCTATCTAAATACAATACCTATCATTGTTTAGAAAGATTGAGATCTGTTAAATACTTTTCTCAAAGCTCTATAACTAAAAGACTTGGCTTTAGTTAAAATGGCATTACTATTAATATTACTACTAATCCTGTAATTATCCTCAGTTTCTTCCAATTTAATGTTGTCTTCAGGATTCCAAAACTGAGCATCTTTTCTCTTATTCTTGATAGTTGCTAGCACATCATATTTGTTGCATATTCCCCATACTGTCACCTTCTGTTGCTCATAATCAACATTTACTGAGTATATTCCTGTTCATATATCATACTTATGTTAATATCTATAAATACATATATAATTGAGGAAGAATAAAGGATTGAATTGGTTATTAAGGGAAAATTATAGGCCCGTCTACCCTATATGTAGGATGACAACTTTTGCTTTATTTGTATGCAGATGCCAACTAGTTTAGATAATGTTAATTTTGAGATGATACAAATTCAAACGAATGCGTTTATTGTATACAATTATATAGTGAGTTAGTGACTCTCTAATAAGGATTGTTGTATCTGTGAAAAATTCTATGTATGAGAATAAAGAAATAATAAAAATAATAACAAAAATTTAACGTTAATGAATCAAAAATCATACGAGCGAGACACATGTTTTTTTCCAATGTGTTTAGGTACATGATGATAGAAACATGGGAATACGATGCATGCAGTTGATATCATAAATTAGTAATAGAAACTACAAAGTAAAGTTCAATTTTTTACCTCTTAAATTACTCAAAGCCTTCTTCACTTTCCTTTCACAGCCAAAAGAATATAGAGGAACCTTCATCTCCACATATTGAGGCTCAACACTCTTGTAAGCCGGAACAATTTGTAAATCTGCCATTTCAATTGAATTAACTAGCTTAAGACTTTATGTTACACACTTGTAATTATACTAATCCTTACAAATTAACCGCGATTTTCCAAACCAAATGGTGTATTTCAAAATGCCTTATCCAATGTTCATGCTAATAGGTAGCTATATATATATATATATATATATATATATATATATATATACACGATTAAGATAACTTAATGAGGTCACGTAATCTAATCTGAAATCCAAAGACGAAAAAGTCGAAACGACACAAAACAATGATTCCTAGTTTATATTATGTCAAACATAACTTTAATTAGCTTTTCTTCTCATGTATTAGTTTCTTATTAGCTTTCTTTTGCATTTTCTTCAGTTGTTTAGGTACATGATGACAAGGAACTTTAGGCTAAAAGATGTTTGTTCTTAGATTCTTTGTTATGATTAGTGATATAACTTGGAGAAATTGCATGAATTCTGAGTCAGATTTGTTATTTAAAAGAAAAGATTATACTCTTTAATTAGTTTGGACGCTCTTTATTTGCATGGCAGTTGAACGTTCTAGCATGGCTACCATGTGCTTATTGCTTTGCCTTGTGCAGAAAGTTGCCTCTTAAAGTAGATTATTAAGGTTTAATTTCATTAACAAGAAAAGTAGAGGTCACATTCAGCATATTCTTAATTAGATAGGTTATAGCTAAGGGTAAGCAAAAATTTTGGGTACCCGGAATTGGAATTGGAACCGGTTAGGAACCGGATCTGGAATTGGACCCGGTGGTTCCAATTCCAGGTAATAAATTTAGGAACCGGTTGCAACTGGTTCCAATTCCAATTCCCAATTTTTTAGACCCGGAATCGGTTGGGCACCCGGGAACCCAATATATATTAAACTAAATATATTTTTTTAAGAAAAAAAATGTTAAATGTATCTAGTTAGTAAAATAAAAAATATATATTATTAATATCTAACCTAAATAAAATAGCTCATGCAATCATTCATATATAAATATTAGTATTAAACGCTGAAATTGAAACTGGATCAAAATAAGTACACCGTATTAAATTTGTATTAAAATTTAATAATTATGTACATAAGTGGGTACCCGGAACCGGACCTGAACCCGGTACTCGGCGGTTCTAATTCCAATACCTAAAGTTTAGGACCCGGTTGAAGTGGTTCCAATTCCAATTCCGAATTTTAGGACCCGGTACCGACCAATTTCGGGTCCGGATCCTAAAAATTTGACCGGGTACCCGGTTTGCTCACCCCTAGTTATAGCGTTATATTAAAAGATTAGTGAATATATGTACATGTACACGCTGCCAAAAAAATATGTACATGTTAGAGCTGTCAATTCGGATAAACAGGTCGGGTTTGGGTCGGGTAAGAGTGGGTCGCGTCAATTCAAATTAATTCCATAAACTATGCAGGTCGGTTTGGGTTGGGTCACGCTTGAGTCAGGTCACGTCGGGTCATACTTCTTATCGGGTTTGAGTCGAGTTTAGATCGGGTTAATAACAGGTCGGGTTACATTCGAGTCGGGTGAACAATAGGCCGGGTTTAATTTGGGTTTTCACGGATTAAAATGGGTTAGGGTAATTCTCGGGTTCGAGTTGGGTATGGTTCAATTCAATAATTTGCGGGTTAGAATCAGGTCGGGTCATTCTCGGGTTTGAGTTGGGTTCGATTCAAGACAATAATTTGCGGATTATAATCAGGTCGGGTCATTTTCAAGTCAGGTCAGTATCGGGTTCAAGTCGGGTTCGGTTCAAGTCAATAATTTGCGGGTTCTAATCAGGTTGGGTCATTTCCAAGTCGGGTCATTCTCGCATTCAAGTCGGATTGTGTTCAAGTCAATAATTTGCAGGTTATAATCAGGTCGGGTCATTTCTAAGTAAGGTCATATTCGGTTCAACTAACTATAAATAGATAATTATCATTTTTAACAAGCTAATTATTTCCTTTGACTATAATATATATATGAAAATATACTAGGGAGCTATAGTCTATAATTTAGGAAGATAATTATCTCCTTTGACCATACAACAAATATATACTATATTTAACTCTTAAATTTGAGGATGATGCTCCTTTCTTTTGTTGGCCTGTACCGACTCGGTCTCCCTAGACAAAATGCTTTGATTAACAATAATAAGGTGGTCTAAATTGCATTTAAGGTGATTTGAAATCGGGTCAGGAACAATTTGGGTTGAATTTAGGTCGGGTCACTAACAAGTTGTGTTAATTTCGAGTCGGGTTAGTAACAAATCGAGTTTAATTTTTGAGTCGGGTAATTAATAGGTCTGGTAAAACTCGGGTCGAGTCAATAACAAGTCGGTTGAATTTGGGTTAGGTCAATAACAAGTCTAGTTGATTTTAGGTCAGGTTTGTAACAGGTTGGGTTAAATTCGGGTCGGGTTGAATTCAGATCAGGTTAGTAACAAGTTGAGTGAAATTCGGATTTTGAGGGGTTAAAACGGATTAGGGTCAATTTCGGTTCAAGTCGGGTTTGGTACAAATTAATTAAATTGGCCGTTGTAAACCGGTAAATTGGCCATTTAACAGCAAATTGGATGGTTCCACACGCCTAATTGGACTCTCGTAAGGTATTAAGGACCATGGTAAATATTTTAGCAATTTTTATTCACGGGCAAAAAAAAGTCTAAAAATTCCAAAATTGAAGGCTAATATCTAGGGCTGAGCAAAACTACCCAAAAAACCGAAAACCCGTTCCGTTACCGTTTCGAAAATTAGGGTACCTGATCCGATAACCATAACGGTTCGGGTACCCGTTCCGATAATTTGTTATCGGGTATGGTTTTTGGGTATCATTTTAAAATTAACGGGTACCCGTTCCGTTCCGATAAGCAATTATTTTGTTTTATTTCCTACTTAAATCTATCTTTTCAATATTTAAACTCTTACATTACTTCATAATCACTATAAATATCAATAATTAGTAATGTTATTAATAATTTGGTCAAGATAATGTGGTATTGTTGTTAATTAGTGTTAAAAAATATCATAATAACTAATTTTTTAAGTTTAACTATCACTATTGGATACTTTATAGCTAGGGTACCCGATAACCGTTTCGAAAATTCGGGTACCCGAAGTCCGGGTACCCGAACTTGTCGGTTCGGGTTATGGATATCACTTTTAGTGATATTGGTTATCGGGTACCCGAACCGTTAGTACTAACGGTACGGGTACCCGTCCTATGCTCACCCCTACTAATATCCACGCTTTTTGAGAAAATTTGGAGTTTTCAGGGCTCGGTGTCGAAAAGTCTTGAAATTCTAGGGGATACATCTCGGGGTCACATAATGCAGTTTGGAGCCATTTATGATCATTATATGTTGTCATAAATGTTCGTGGTAGGCTTGATTTAATGAAATTGGTACAAGTTGTAAACCAGTTAATTGGTTGTTTAAAGGCAAATTGGATAGTTCAACCCACCAAATTAGACTCCTGAAGGGTAGTAGGGATCATGGTAAAAATTTCGGTAATTTTTATTTCCAGGCGATAAAAAGTTAAAAAATTCCAAAATTGAAGGCTTATATCCACGTTTTTTGAGAAATTTTGGAGGTTTCGGGGCACGGTGTCGAAAAACCTTGAGATTTTAAACAATACATCTCGGGCTCATATGATGACGTTTGGAACTTATATGATCATTATATATTGATCATCTCGGGCTCATATGATGACGTTCGGTAAATAGGCCGTTTAAAGGTAAATTGGATGGTTGCACCCACCCAATTGGACTCCCGGAATGTATTAGGGACCATGGTTAATATTTCGGCAATTTCTATTTCCGGACGAAAAAAAAGTCAAAAAATTCCAAAATTAAAGGCTAATATCCATGTTTTTTGAAAATTTTTGGATGTTTTAGGGACCAGTGTAGAAAAGTCTTAATTATTTAGGGGATACATCTTGGGGTCATATAATACGTTTGGAACCATATATGATCATTATATTTTGTCATAAATGTTCATAGTATGCTTGAGTTAATGAAATCCGTGCAAGTGAACCGGTAAATTGGTCGTTTAAAGGGAAATTGGATGGTTCCACCAACCCAATTGGACTCTCGGAGGATATTAGAGACCATGGTAAAAATTTCGGCAATTTTTATTTTCGAGCGAAAAAAAGTCAAAAAATTCCAAAATTGAAGACTAACGTTTTTTGAGAAATTTTGGAGATTTCGGGGCCCGGTGTTGAAAAGTCTTTAAATTTTAGAGGATACATCTCGGGGTCATATAATGCCGTTTGGAATCATATATGATCAATATTTGTTGTCATAAATGTTCGTGTTAGGTTTGAGTTAATGAAATCGGTGCAAGTTGTAAACCGATAAATTCGTCGTTTAAAGGCAAATTGGATGGTTCCACCCAGCCGATGGGACTCCTGGACAGTATTAGGGGTCATGGTAAACATTTTGGCAATTTTTATTTCCGAGCGAAAAAGTCAAAAATTACAAAATTGAAGTAAATATCCACGCTTTTTGAGAAATTTTGGAGGATTCAGGGCCCGGTGTCGAAATGTCTTGAAATTCTATGGGGTATATCTCGGGGTCATATAATGCCGTTTGGAGCCATTTATGATCATTATATGTTGTCATAAATGTTCGTGGTAGGCTTGATTTAATGAAATTGGTGCAAGTTGTAAACCAGTAAATTGGTCGTTTAAAGGCAAATTGGATAGTTCAACCACCCAATTAGACTCCTGGAGGGTAGTAGGGGCCATGGTAAAAATTTCGGCAATTTTTATTTCCGGGCGAAAAAAAGTCAAAAAATTCCAAAATTGAAGGCTTATATCCACGCTTTTTGAGAAATTTTGGAGGTTTCGGAGCACGGTTTTGAAAAACCTTGAGATTTTAAATAATACATCTCGGGGTCATATAATGACGTTTGGAACCATATATGATCATTATATATTGTCATAAATGTTCGTGTTAGGCTTGATTTAATGAAATCGGTGCAAGTTATAAACCGGTAAATAGGCCGTTAAAAGGTTAATTGGATGGTTGCACCCACCCAATTGGACTCCCGTAATGTATTAGGGACCATGGTAAACATTTCGGCAATTTCTATTATTTCTGGACGAAAAAAAAAGTCAAAAAATTCCAAAATTGAAG